ATGTCAAATAATCACAGCTTGGATTAATTAATTATTCAGGTTAAATAATGACCTGAGAAAGGTTTCATATATATCATTGACAATTATCAATCAACTACTCATTAATCCATGACAATTGATAAGTATTCTTCAATGAAAAGTTTCGGGTTTAACCTAGTTGATTAATTTATGATATGCCATGTGGGATGTCTGGGCCAATCGGCAACTGAGTTACGCTGGGCTGACTTGAAACAGGCTAAGGATGTTTACATTTTTAAACTTGTTTGTACTCGATGAAAATGATATAATCGGAAGTACTTCGGTCATATTTGTAAACTACAGATGTAACGCTTCACAACGATGTCAAGTATTACGCAAGGGGATTACCTGATCGACCCACACCAAGCGAAGACAAATAACTAATTCGCTGAGAATTTTAAGAAAAAAGAATAATTTATGAATATGGTACTCTCAAAAGGTGTTTCAAAATGTTTTATTGCTATTTTGATCTTTTAGGTTGATAAGATAGTATATTTATAGACATATTTTTGTGAAAATCTCATTTGGCCATCACAAGTCACATATATTGATACTGCACGAGGACGTTAGTCTGAGTGTTGTTTCAATATATTACACAATGTCTTGCTCGAGACCATTAAACAACTTAAAGTACAGACACTATCCTGCATATGTGCATTTCAATGAAACTGTCACCCAAGTCCAATATTTCATCCAGTGTGATGCGTATGATTGGCACGCTGCTTGAACCATTATTTGAAATAATGGTACGCCAACATCAAAGTGTGACATCACATCTGTATTTTAACTTGCTTAAATATTCTGAATAACACTTCAATATTTAATGAGAAAGTTTTGATATTTTTGAAATAGATTAACTAATATCTTTATATACTAACGACTATATTTTCTTGTATCTGTATATGATATGCTTTATCATTCTCTACAGTAAGCTGTGATAAAATACTGGGTAAAAACGCTTTATACTTCTCATCTCCTTTATTACTACAATATATGATAAAATATTAATTATAGCAAATATAAAATAATTATTTGTTCAGATATATTATTTTCTAACATTCTGAAACCATAAAACATTCACAAGAGTCTATGAAATCAAAAAGTGAAAAGAATATAGAAACGATTGATGAAATGTTCTGCTTTGACTGGGCTAATGAAGACAGGCAACCGCCATACAGCGTGCTTTGAGCGAAATCTTGCCCCGACAGCGGCGCTACGGTCTACTCTTATATTAAATTCCAACTGCCAATGGATCAGTTATAAGTGAATGCCAATGTGTACACGGGACCTCAGTTTTTCATCCAATTCGAACCATTATACATTGTCCATTGACAAGGGGGAACCACACTGGGAAATCCTGATGAAGTTTCTCGGCCAACGCAGGGATCAAACACGGGGCCTCCAGGCTAGCGAGCCAATGTCTTACTCACTGAGCCATCGTGGCTCTGAAACTGTAAAAGAGAAGTTATAAACAGAAATCGTGGAAATTCAATAGGCTTGTCAACTGAATCAATCTTAGCAATGATAAAATTTTATGCTACAGTAAACACAAGATTCTACAGTGAGAGCAATAACTCTGGTAGTTTTAAATGAAAATTGTAGAAATTTTAGACTTTTTCTGAAGTAAATTTGAACAAGATTTGCGGTATATAGTTGTCACCACCTCGGCAATCATTTAAAATTTGACACTCTTTGAAAAAACCAGCGGCTGCCAGGCAGGATACGCCCACATTTTGCGAAAGATGGATAGAGAACAAGCTAAAAAAAGCGATTTTTTGTACAATCAAGGGCCATAATTCAGGAAGTTACGATCCGATACGTGTGAATAACGACAGGAACCAAGATCTTTAAGTTACAAAGATATATTTCAAGTTTCATCAAAATCGGATCAGAATTGTGTCTTCTAGATGGTCCCCAATCTTGATATACCATATATTTACACTATTTGTGTACGAGGGGTGGCCATTTTGTCCATCAGCCTTGAACTGATTTTCAGGAAATTCTAACTCAAACATGTAACGGTTTTTTAAATTGGATAAAAATTTGCCCACATTTTGCAAGAGATGGATAGAGAACAAGCTAAAACAAACAGGATTTTTTGTACAATCAGGGGCAATAATCCAGAAAGTTATGGTCTGAAATGTGCAAATACACAATTTGCGTACAAAGAGCGGACATTTTGTCAGGCAGTTTCATTTCGATTTTTCCCGAAATTCAAATTCAACATTCATTATGGTGGAATGGTGATATATTTAAACGGTTTTTAAAATCCGAACTCTAAATTACGGTTTAACAGTGATATATTCGAACATTTTTTTAAATCGGATAATAATTGTGACCTCTAGAGGGATCACAAGCTAAAAACATGATTTTTCGTACAATCAGGGGCCATAATTGAGGAAGTTATGATCCGATACACACGAATATCAAAAGGAAACAATATCTTTGGGTTATAAACATGTATTTCAAGTTTCATCAAAATCTAAAAACAAACAGGATTTACGCTATTTGAGTGTGAGGGGCGGCCATTTTGTCTGTCAGTTTTGGTTCGATTTTTACGATAATTCGAACTCAAGTAGGCAACTGCTCAATTTCAAACCTGTAACTACATTAATATAGGACGCTTAATCTGGACATAGTATTATCATTGGATTATACAGATGTCTCTCCTCATGATATTCACAGCATTCATTAAGTGTGAAAATTATTCATTTAGTTCAATACATGCAGAAATAATAACATGTAGCATACCTTGATTGTAATATATGTATAAAAGCTGATTTAGCTGAAGCCTGTGTTACTAGCCATGATAATAGACTAAGTATTTTATTTAATAGTGAACTGGTAATTAGTTCATCTTTAAATATATCATTATCTTTCTTCTCTTCTTCTACTGTCTTCTTATTACACAGATCTAAATATACATCTAATATACACCTGAAAATAAAACATATACATCTATATACTTCAATTCATTAACGGTTTAAACCAGCGGTTGCCAGTTAGGATACGCCCACATTTTGCAAGAGATGGATAAACAAGCTAAACAAAAAGCAATTTTTCGAACAATCAAGGGCCATAATTCCAGAAGTTACGATCAGATATGCGCAAACATTGGAAGGAACCAAGATCTTTGGGTTATAAACATGTATTTCAAGTTTCATCAAAATCGGATCAAAATTGTGAGCTCTAGAGGGTCCACAACCTTCGTATTGCATACTTTTACACAATTTGCGTACAAAGAGCGGTCATTTTGTCGGGCAGTTTCATTTCGATTTTCCCGAAATTCGAATTCAACCTTCATTATGGTGGAATGGTGAAATATTTAAACGGTTTTTAAAATCGGAAAAAAAAATTGTGACCTCTAGAAAATCCGCATGCTAAAAATGTGATTTTTCGAACAATCAGGAGCCATAATCCAGAAAGTTACGTTCGGATATACGCGATTATGTTTTTTTAAATCGGATAAAAATTGTGACCTCTACATGGACGACAAGCTAAAATATCGAAAGGAACAAAGATCTTTGGGTTATAAACATGTATTTTAACTCTCATCAAAATCAGATCAAAATTGTGACCTCTAGAGGGTCCACAAGCTTGATATACCAGATGCTATACACTATTTGCGTATGAGGGGTGGCCATTTTGTCTGTCAGTTTTTCACGAAATTCGAACTGAGCCATCCTTAGGGTATAACAGTGATATACTAAAACGTTTTTTAAAATCGGATAAAAAATTATGACCGCTATAGGGTCCACAAGCTAAAATCGCGATTTTACGTACAATCAGGGGCCATAATTCAGGAAGTTACGGTCCAATATGCCCGAATATCGACAGGAACCGAGATCATTGTGTTATAAACTTACATTTTAAGTTTCAACAAAATCGGATAAAAATTGTGACCGCTATAGGGTCCACAAGCTAAAAACACGATTTTTCGTACCATCAGGGACCATAATCCATAAGGTTACGGTTCAATACATGCCAATATCGAAAGGAACTGAGATCTAAGGGAGATAAATCTATATTTCAAGTTTTGTTGAAATCGGATAAAAATGTCATTGATTAAGTGGCAAGTGGTACTAGTCAAAGATTGTTAACTGGAAAGTGATGTTAAACATAATCTTGTTAAGTGGCAAGAAGTATCAATCACAGATTTTTAAGTGGAAAGTGGTATTTGTCACAGACTGTCAGGTGGCAAGTGGTATCAGAAATACTACTATTATCATCACATACAAGTATTCTAATAATATAGATCCTGATATAAAAGTGTAATAAGATAAACAGTAGAGAAATATTATTACTTGATTAACATGGTAGCTGATGGTGATGATAAATCTGTTATCTGCCAACATACACGACGTATTATAGTTTGTAATGGTAGACATCCTGAAACTGTAATATATATCAATCAGATATAGGTTCATTAACTACTTTATCATTCTTACTTACATTTACTTTAACTCTTATACTGCTATGTAAATCTGTAAGAAACATGCAATACCCTTCTTCACAATAAGTAACAGCTGACAAATTTTCCATAAAATGACACATGAGTAGGGAAATATATATGTTATCAATCATAGTTTACAGAATAAGGGCAGATACTGATAGTCTAATAAGTGTAGGTTACTGTTTCATAACTTAGTACAGAAATAGAAGAAATTCAAACTCAAGTTACTCAGTTCTTTCTTATTACACACTAAATTCTGGATACTACACATTAAATTCTAACTGTGTAGTGTCCATTTAAACAACATAAAAACAAAAATAAATGTAACATCGTCTAATTACAATTTGACTTTGTTTCACCGGTTGACACTTATTCTGTTATTACATAAAATTTGATATCAATTAACAAATATTAATGAAATATCATCTTACCTATTAAGTTTGATATAATTTGTATAAACTGAGGTGTTAAAGAATGTAGATGAGCACTCCATAGTTTACGACTAGTAATCATTAAAGTCACCTCTTCTTCACTTAATCCCTACAAAAATACAAACACATACTTTAATATAAAAGATGATATCCACCAAACATAACAACCTAAACTACAACACTTCAGTGAAAGAACATACAAATTTTAACCATGTTAAACAACTTTCTTAGCAAAATGTTAATTATTGCAATAGTCCGGTCAAAATACAGTTTAACCCCCCCAAAAATTGCTACAAAAGGTTTCTCAACTGATTCTGGCAGGATTTAGTGTACTTTATAACATACTAAAAGTTTACCACAGTAGGACCCCGGAAAAGTGTTTTTTTCAAGATGGCGTCAAAGATGGCCATCAAAACATCTTAATGATCATAATTATGTAACTATCAACTAAAATTTGATGATCTTGGGGTCTATTCCTAGGTTTTGTGGGGCAAAGAACACATTAAGATCACTAAAAATGATGTTGGCCTATTATGTCAAAAATGGCCGCCAACACGTCCTAATGACCGCAAGTCCATAACTATTGACTCAAATTTGATGATCTTATGTCTATCCCCAGGTTTTGGGGAGCAAGGAACATATTAAGACAACTTTGGATGTCACTGAGCTGTTCAATCATTACGAAATTGAAATTTTTGGGGCTTGAGGGGCTATTTTCCATATATTGACCTGACTACAATGGTTTTTGTATTCCACACTCCAATGAATAATTTTAGGCTATATATTTATCAAAATTTTATGAAAATTGTCTGTTGTATTTCTTCCTTTATAGAATTACACTTCTATGTAATATTTTCCTTGAATTGTTGTTCAAAACAGAAGGTCACAGGTGACCAGCATACACATCCAAAGAGTTCCCCCTTTATGTCAGACTTCGGGAACCGTGACATGATTAATCATCGCCTTTCAGTCCTGGTAATAGAAAGTTTCTATTTGTGTCGCACGAATCAGTGAGTGTAAATAATGACGGCATCTTAAAGGGAGGCTTGAGTGAAATAGTCGCTCTGAGCGTTATAGTGTCATCCACAATGTTAAAACCATGGTTTCTATTTGGGTTTGGGCTCAAAAGATTGTGCCCTTAATCATAACTGCAACCGTTTGGATAGAGTTCAAATGAAATAGAATAATTAAGAAAAATAATTTAACCTCCTTTGTTTGAAGAGGAAGTGGTAAGGGAAGTAATTCCGATAACAACAGTAATCCACCCATGTAACAGTATGGTGATTTAGATGTATGTTTAAATATCTCTTTTAATGTTAAGGTCCACAAACTCTGACTAATAGCTGAAAAACACAAAATCATTTAACTCTTACAATTCTTACAATTATTTGTTTTAATACTTATACATGACAAATGATGAAGAAATAAATCTGCAGCAAATTCTAGCGACAGGGAAATTTTGGATTACAAAACATCCCTACACATCAATAATGATTATTTTCATATGTGGCCAAATAAAAATACAAGTCAAAAATTCCATCCAAAAGATTTATTTTTTCAAAAAACAATATGTGTGTAGGGAAGTACACACTGGTCATATTGAAGCCCCTGTCCAAGTTTTCCCCCAAAACACAGATTTACATATCAATTGTATGTAGGTATACACTTTAGAACATACTGAAGCATATGGTCAAAAGTTCACACAGTTCTATAAAGATTTGAGGTTATTGAAGTTTGAAAAAAAACTTTGTCCTATGAATTGCCAAAAGCTGATGGTGACCGAAAGTGTGACTGCTGTGTCTTGCCTTCAGTTGCTGTTGTCGAGGACAAAACAAAAAAAGACATTGACCCAGCTTCAAAGTCACATACGTTTAATTAAATGACAAAAACTCTATTGCTTTAAAATAGACTTTTAAAAACAAATTCATATAAAAACTAAAGATAACCAGCGGCTGCCAGGCAGGATACGCCCACATTTTCGAGAGATGGATAGAAAACAAGCTAAAACGAAAGTGATTTTTCCTACAATCAAGGGCCATAATTCAGGAAATTACAATTCGATATGCGCAAATATCGAAATGAACCGAAATCTTTGGGTTATAAACTTACATTTCAAGTTTCAACAAAATTGGATAAAAATTGTGACCTCTATAGGGTCCACAACCTTGATATACCATATTTTTAAGCTATTTGAGAACGAGGGGTGGCCATTTTGTCTGTCTGTTTTGGGCCGATTTTCACGAAATTCGAACTCAGTCGTCCTTATGGTGTAACGGTGATATAATAATACGGTTTTTTAAATCGGATAAAAATTATGACCTCTATAGGGTCCACAAGCTAAAAACGCGATTTTTCGTACAATCAGGGGCCATAATTCAGGAAGTTACGGTCCGATATGCGCGAATATCGAAAGGAACCAAGATCTTTGGGTTATAAACTTATATTTCAAGTTTCAACAAAATCAGATAAAAATTGTGACCTCTATAGTGTCTACAACCTTGATATACCATGTTTTTACGATATTTGAGAATGAAGGGCGGCCATTTTGTCTGTCAATTTTAGGCCGATTTTCACGAAATTCGAACTCAGTCGTCCTTATGGTGTAACGGTGATATAATAATACGTTTTTTTAAATCGGATAAAAATTATGATCTCTATAGGGTCCACAAGCTAAAAACGCGATTTTTCGTACAATCAGGGGCCATAATTCAGGAAATAACGGTCCGATATGCGCGAATATCGAAAGGAACCGAGATCTTTGGGTTATAAACTTACATTTCAAGATTCAACAAAATCAGATAAAAATTGTGACCTCTATAGGGTCCACAACCTTGATATACCATATTTTTACGCTATTTGAGAACGAACAGCGGCCATTTTGTATGTCAATTTTAGGCCGATTTTCATGAAATTCGAACTCAGTCGTCCTTATGGTGTAACGGTGATATAATAATACGGTTTTTTAAATCGGATAAAAATTATGACCTCTATAGGGTCCACAAGCTAAAAACGCGATTTTTCGTACAATCAGGGGCCATAATTCAGGAAGTTACGGTCCGATATGCGTGAATATCGAAAGGAACCGAGATCTTTGAGTTATAAACTTACATTTCAAGATTCAACAAAATTGGATAACCAGCGGCTGCCAGGCAGGATACGCCCACATTTTCGAGAGATGGATAGAGAACAAGCTAACAAGAAAGTGATTTTTCCTACAATCAAGGGCCATAATTCAGGAAATTACAATTCGATATGCGTGAATATCGAAAGGAACCGAGATCTTTGGGTTATAAACTTACATTTCAAGTTTCAACAAAATCGGATAAAAATTGTGACCTCTATAGCGTCCACAACCTTGATATACAATCAGGGGCCATAATTCAGGAAGTTACGGTCCGATATGCGTGAATATGGAAAGGAACAGAGATCTTTGGGTTATAAACTTACATTTCAAGATTCAACAAAATCGGATAAAAATTGTGACCTCTATAGGGTCCACAACCTTGATATACCATATTTTTACGCTATTTGAGAACGAACAGCGGCCATTTTGTCTGTCAATTTTAGGCCGATTTTCACGAAATTCGAACTCAGTCGTCCTTATGGTGTAACGGTGATATAATAATACAGTTTTTTAAATCGGATAAAAATTATGACCTCTATAGGGTCCACAAGCTAAAAACGTGATTTTTCGTACAATCAGTGGCCATAATTCAAGAAGTTACGGTCCGATGTGCACGAATATCGAAAGGAACCGAGATCTTTTGATTATCAACTTAGATTTCAAGTTTCAACAAAATTGGATAAAAATTGCGACCTCTATAGTGTCCACAACATTGATATACCATATTTTTACGCTATTTGAGAACGAACGGCGGCCATTTTGTCTGTCAATTTCGGGCCGGTTTTCACGAAATTTGAACTCAGCCATCCTTAGGGTGTAACGGTGATATACTTGAACGATTTTTTAAATCGGATATAAATTATGACCTCTATAGGGTCCACAAGCTAAAAACACGATTTTTGGTACAATCAGGGGCCATAACTCTAGAAGTTACGGTCCGATATGCGCGAATATCAAAAGGAACCGAGATCTTTGGATTATCAACTTAGATTTCAAGTTTCAACAAAATCGGATAAAAATTGTGACCTCTATAGTGTCCACAAGCTAAAAACGTGATTTTTCGTACAAACAGGGGCCATAATCCATGAAGTTTCGATCCGATACATGCCAATATCGAAAGGAACCGAGATCTTTTGGAGATAAACCTATATTTCAAGTTTCGTCAAAATCGGATAAGAATTGTGACCTGTAGAGTGTCCACAAACAAATTGTGGACGGACGGACGTCCGGACGGACAGGGGCGATGACATAATACGTCCACATGAAAATGTGGGCGTATAAAAATTGTGACCTCTATAGGGTCCACAAGCCAAAAAACGTGATTTTTCGTACAAACAGGGGCAATAATCCATGAAGTTTCGATCCGATACATGCCAATATTGAAAGCAGCCGAGATCTTTTGGAGATACACCTATATTTCAAGTTTCGTTAAAATCGGATAAGAATTGTGACCTGTAGAGTGTCCACAAACAAATTGTGGACGGACGTCCGGACGGACAGGGGCGACGGCATAATACGTCCACATGAAAATGTGGGCATATAAAAATAAATCTTCTAATAAATATATTTACCATCTTCAGTATCTGACTGATCTAATATTGGCTGCGTAAATGCCATCAGGGTATCTACTATACTTTTCTGTACCTTAAATACCAAATAAAATAAAGTGAATTTTCATTTTTAAAATATAGAATGGTAGTGTAGAGATCATTGAGAAACATATACTTTAGAAAATGTAACTTCGCCAGTTCAATCTTAATTCTGTTGATATCTTATAAATATTCATTGATTGTCAAATCCACAGTTTGATTTGACAGAACCCATAAAAGCAGTTATTTGCTGCCCATAAACACCAAAATGACAACAACTGAATTAAATGTTGGAGAGAACCTCACCTTTAATACAGATTGATTAAATAAACTATTGACTGGTGCTGAACATAGTACTGTATGTAGTTCTAATAATATAGGTACACTTGTTACATC